GAGTGACCCTATTCTTTGACCGGCAACACTGTCCACATTTGAGTTAGTTCAGTTTAGAGAAGGATTAAATATCTATATATACAGACAAAACATTAAGAATCCCATTGAACTTATTTTTATTAGTCCAGTGTAAAAAATAATAATAGTAATGTGGAAAAATGAACAACTGTTTTACTTAAATGTTAATGACAAGTCTGAATAATTGATGTCTGTGGTTGTCCCGGTAAAGGATGCCCTGCCAGAGGCATTCATCACGGCTGTAGATCAGATTGACTACACTTCTCCTGTTACTAAGATAAATGGTAAGATTACAGAGAATTTAACGCTTCATTTCATCAAACTAAATATGCATTTCAAGAAAAAAAGAAAACAGTGCTTGCAAGGCGGCAAAAGAAGAGTGTTCATATTTCAGGCTTTGGTTCTGGGGAAGGAAGCTCTATTGTTGTCTTGACACTAAGCAAGCAAGACAAGACCAAAGATAATTCATTATGCCAATAGGAACATCAAAGAATACCAGCTGGAATCCACAGTCCAAAATGTTATGATGACATCGCTCTCATTTATTTTGGATTCAGTCAGTAATTAAAAAATTTAAATATTAGAAATTATTACAAATGAAATAATTAATAATAATTTTAATTTGTTGAATATAAAATACTTATTTAAATAATTTAAAATAATTAATAAAAAAGCAAAAGTAGTTGTAGCTGCTGCACTGCAAAACTTGACAAAAGTAATCAGTAAGAAAATAATTATTTGCAATTTGAAGTTTGAATTGTCGAACAAATCCATGAGAAGAATTTTTGAGGAATATAAACAGTCCCAGCTAACAGAGAACGTTTGGCTTTGGCTAACGTTCTTGGAAGATTCATACAAAGTTATGCACTGAATTCTTTTAGTAACGTTAATAGAAAGGTTGTTCAAAGTTATCTGATGTTCTCATAACATTAGCACAAAAATGTTATTTATACATTGTTCATGGAACATTTTATTCGGACATTCAGCTGATGTTTTACTACTTAACAGAGCATTGAGAGAACTTTCAAAACTGTAACGACCCAATAATGTTTGCGAAATGATAAAATGAAAAGGTTCCTTGAACACTCGCATAACCAAGACTTTTTAAAACATTAAAAAAAACTGGACATTTTGAACGTTCAAAGAAATAACGTTTTCATAACCTAATGGTAACATTAGCGAAACATTCTTGGAACGTACTTTTGTTAGCTAGGCTGCTGCCTTGCAAGAACTGTAATTTTAATGGAGTACAGTTTGTCTTTTTCCTGTATAATTGTTGATTGGAATATTCTGTAATCTCTGTCCTTTGCAAATGAACAGTGGCTGTAGACAAGCTGCCTAATTTCTTGGCTGCTGCAAATAGTGCGGATGGAAAACCAGGTCCACATCATCAGTGTTCAATCCACCTGAACTGTGAGAGTGTGGAGGTGCTGGAGGAGGCCTACAGGGAGGGCCAGCAGGGACGCCCATCCTCCAGGTTGGCAAAACCTGCAGTGGAGCAACTAATATTTGCACATTACACACATGAAGGCATGGGACATCTGAATTTGCAAGTCATGACCAAGTTTCACAGACAACACATCTGTTGCTCGTGGACATGGTGGTGATGGTTTTCCATTCAATGCACCGAACCACAGCGATTTACATGATATCCCGATTCATCTTCTGGTGTTTTTGTGTAGGCCTATGATAGAAATGACCATTCCCTCGGTGCTGGATCCAACTCTAGCGCCTCCCGGCTGTCATGTGGTGTCTCTTTTCATCCAGTTTACACCATATTTGCTGGAGGGTCGCCATGCTTGGACTGACGAGGACAGGGAGAGATTTGCTGACACAGGTACCTAATGCCCACTATTTGCATTTTTTTTTGTGCCGTTTGTGTGCACAGGCATTATAAGCCTTGTGTTTGTAAAAGGTCTCGGAGGTCTTTCAAAGTGTAATACAAACAGGTTTGTTGAGTTCTTTTTTAATGTTTTGAAAGAAGTCTCTTATGCTCACAAAGGCTTCATTTACTTAATCAATAATATAAAAAAGCAGTAATACTGTGAAATCCTATGACAAGTAACTGTTATACATTTGAACATACAATTTTAAAATTGCATTTTAAATTGCAATTTATTCCACTGATGGCAAAGCTAAATTTTCAGTTTTCAGTGCCACATGATCCTTCAAAAATGATTTCTATTTCAAATACATACTTTCAAATAATCCTATTCGTCAAATAATCCTGAAAAAAACGTTTCACGGTTTCCACAAACATATTAACAATGTTTTCAACATTAATAATGATAAAAACCATTCATAATATTTGAACAGCAATAATAATTGAGCACCAAATCAGCACATTAGAATGATTTCTGAAGGATAAATCATTGCAATAATATTTCAAAACATTAGATGAGCCAGACCCTTCCTTCACCATTATCATCCAAAAATGTACACACTGATAGACGGGAATGTCATGAAATCGCTGCTTTTAAACACAGAGACACCGTTTGTTCTACCGCAGTGATATCACATGCCTCAAAGTAATAAGATCTTTGTTGTAATTGGTCCTTTGTTTCCTGTTTCACAGCATTCGACTGGGTTGAGCGTTACGCACCTGGATTTAAAAAGTCTATAGTTGGCAAAGACATTTTAACCCCTGCTGATCTGGAGAGGGTCTTTGGTCTCACTGGAGGGGTATGAATATTTGAGTTTAATAAACATGGACTTTTTCTAAATTCATAACTTTGTTTTGTTAGTAATTTTCACAGCCATACATAATTATTTTGTCTCTTAAAGGGATAGTTCACCCAAAAATGAAAATTTTATGTTTATCTGCTTACCCTCTGGGCATACAAGATGGAGGTGACTTTGTTTCTTCAGTAGAACACAAACAGAGATTTTTTAACTCAAACCGTTGCAGTCTGTCAGTCTTATAATGGAAGTGAATGGGAATCATGGCTTTGAGAGTCAAAAAGGCGTCCTGAGCACGTCCTCGACAGCTGGCGCATGGTCTTTTTGGACCATTGACACTCCTAATTGAGATTGTAGATAGAGTGTCAATGGTCCATTTGAGAGATAGGTGGCGGTAATGCACTTATAAGTCTGCGATCCGCCGTATAGTAGCACGAAGAAGAAGAAGACGCGTCACGCGCCTGCTGTTGAGAATGCGCTCAGGAGGACGCGCCGCTGCTCAGGACAGTTCGAACAGTTCGGACATTGCGTGTATCAGAGGTAAAAAATTATATAAATACTGTTCAGTTTCTTGCACAGACCGATCGTTTAGTGTCTTTACATATCAATGTATCGTCACGAGCCGCAGGGTTTAATTTGGTTTTGTTTGTGTATGTTTTTTTTTTTACTCTCAAAGCCGTGATTCCCATTCACTTCCATTATAAGACTGACAGACTGCAACGGTCTGAGTTAAAAATCTTCGTTTGTGTTCTACTGAAGAAACAAAGTCACCTACATCTTGGATCTTTAAGCAGATAAACATCAACTTTTAATTTTTGGGTGAACTATCCCTTTAATCTCTCATTTGGAAGTTAATTTGCACATCGTACCATTCCAAACATTCATTACATGTATTTTTTTATGCCAAAGAATATATTTCATGGCTCAATGTCTTTGGATCAGCTTTACCTGGCGAGACCTTTGCCCTCTGTCGCAGACTACCGCACACCAGTCAAAGGACTGTACTTATGTGGCAGTGGCAGCCCTCCAGGTCTGTGCCTGTATAAATAAAAGCTAAAAGAGTTTTGGGATTAGAAATGTCATCTGTGTGATATCATGTTTCATAAAACCAGGTCAGGTAAATGTTGAGCTTGATGTGCATGACCTCCCCTGTGTTTTCCAGCATTTATGTAAGTTTTTCTCATTCAGGTGGAGGTGTTATGGGTGCAGCTGGCTGGAATTCAGCTCTCAAAGTTCTAGCAGATTTCAAGCGACTGTGATCTTGGCCTTCAGTGGGGAATATCATTTTCCAATGGGGTGTTTTAATGAAAAGAGAAATGAAGACAAATAAGAAGTGTTGCTAACATTGTATTAGGATATTTTGTATTTTTAACACTCCCAAAATGTTCATGTTCTAAAATGTTCCATGTATTTTTCAGTGAAATGTTAATAAATATCAAAATAGTTATAATAAATATACCTTAGTCAGTGTAGCACTATATTTGCTTTTTGACAGGAATGAAAATGAGTTGTGAGGGACTGAAGTACAGAGTGTTCAGTGGATTCAGCTGTTGTATAACAACATAGCGATTGTTCAGCTGTTGAAACGTCTTTCCGAATAAAGTAGACAAAAACTTCAAGAACAAATTTGAAAGCTGTGAGTTGTCATAATTACATGATCTAGGACCTTAATACAGTACATATAAACAAAAATGCGAAATAGATTTTATTTATTGTAACTGGATTAAGATGCAACTTAAAGGAATAGTTCACCCAAAAAATTAGAATTTGCTGAAAATATACTAACTGCCAGGCCATCCAAGATGTAGGTGAGTTTGTTCTTTCATCAGAATAGATTTGGAGAACTTTAACATTAAATCACTTGCTCACCAATGGATCCTCTGCAGTGAATGGGTGCCGTCAGAATGAGAGTCCAGACAGCTGATAAAAACATCACAATAATCCACAAGTAATCCATTCAAGCAGTTAATGTCTTGTGAAGAGAAAAGCTGTGTGTATATAGGAAACATCTATCATTAAGGCATTTTAACTTTAAACTGTTTGTAACTTTAAAGTCCAAAACTAATAATAACACCTCCAGTGTCCATGCTCTAGAACTGCTTTGTACTGTTTTCCGTTCTAAATGGTGCTTGATCTGCATAACATTTCTCTCCTGATTCAGACTAGATGACTTTTTCAGGAGTAAGCAATAATAAAAAAAATAATGGAATTAAAAGTGATGTAATGCCAAATTTTTCCAAATCTGTTCAGATGAACAAACTCATCTGCATCTTGGATGGCCTGAGGTTGACATAAAATGTGTTTTGCCATAGTAGAAAAAAAAATTGTGGGACAGCTTTATGCCATAGTGAGAAGTGTGGCTCCAGAACACAATGGCCCCCGCGGCCCTTTAAGACGCTCGTTCTGGGAGGCGCTTGAGTTCAGTTCAACACACCCGCCTGGCGCTTCGCTCGACGCCCAGGAAGAGAAACACCACACATCTATCGCCACAAGTTTAAATATGACGATTCATTTGTTGATTTGACGTGTATTCTGTCGTGTTTACGTTCCTGTAGCGGTATTGAGGGCAATAATGCTGAATGGTTGGACTAATGAAGTTCAGTTTGGATTTCTGCCGGTTACTGGGGCTCAGCGGTGAGTTTCTCTGCATGGAAACTTTCTTTCTGTCTGTCCGAGTTATAAAGTTAGTTTTCCATGAATCAGAGCCGTGTAACACGACACGATACGATCCGCTTATCTAGCCTTAAAGCGCGTTAGTGACCGTGATGTAAAGTTTTATTACACCATTCAGCTTTATATCAAATAAATCATTTGATAAATCAATTTATACAAAAGTCAATTATGCAGATATTGTTTAACTACACGTAACTGCGGTTGTCACCCGTATAGTTTTTATTTGTAGATTGTAATTTCTGTCAAATCCACATTTAATGTAAAACATACAAATATTACGAAGAATAATGAGTTCAAGTTGTTTGTTAAAGTCTCCTAGACTCTGAACGAATTTAAGTTTTACAAAGAAATGTAGTGTATACACTCATTACAGGCTTTTTGTTTAAACGGTTTTAGTTTATTATTGAAAGCGAGTTCAAATACTTAAGAAATCACATGCAACAGGCCTGTGAACCACAGAGACGCTAAATCTGATTTTAACAGATCATTTCCTGTATGATTGTGTTTTTATAAAATTTTTAGACAAACCAATTTAGATAAATTATTTGTTTTGTAGTAATTTAAAAGCACAGTTTGGGGGGTTAAAGGTTACCTCAACTCTAAGGCAAACAATGCTTTTTACAATTATAAACAGGTTTTTCAGTGTTCCTTAACAATAAGCAACCAACCTCCTTATCAAAAACCACGTAGGATTCTCTAGTTACCCCTATGTTCTTTGGAAATTTAACAAAAGCTCTTAATCTTGAAAATACAAGCTTGTAGCTGTTTTTTTTAAGCATGGTTGTTGCTTTTTATATAATCTAAGCTGGTAAACCATCTTGCTTAAGTTGGGCAAGATGGTTTATGAAACATGTAGCTAGTTGACCAGCCAATAGTCATATAGAAACCTCTTTATGTTTCAAAACACAGCTACCAGTTTAAACTGGATTCTTCAGACCAGGGTTTTGTTGTCTGGTTTCTTTAAACCACCGTTGCATGAATGATTTTCTAAAGAGCTATGGAATGAAAATTCTTCGAGGAACTTGAAAAGGTTCCCCTTTGAAATCAGGCTGTAAACCCATTTTGCTTTATTTTTAGCGCGCGTGTGTGTGTGTGTGTGTGTGTGCGCGAGAGAATGTGTGCATTGTCACCATGTTTTTTTGTTTGAATTTTTTTGTATTTGTTGCAGTTTTTGCAAAAAAGCTGCAAAAAATTGCAGCTTCATTACATAAAGTACTGCTAGTTTGTGTTGTCTAATATTCACCTCCATTCAAAGTTTGCAATTAAATATGCAAATATGCATTAGAGCATGATCTGTGTGTGCTGTTTTTTCCCCCCTCCAAAGCACAGTTGCATGGAGGGTTTTATAAAGAGCTAGAAAATGAAAATTCTTTGAGGAACTTGAAAAGGTTCTCCTATGACATCAGGCTGTAAAACCCCTTTAGCTTTATTTTTAATTGTTTTTGTATTGTATTTGTTGAAATGTTGCGGTCTTCATTACTTGAAGTACTGTCTAAAATTGGGCTGTACTTAAAGTTGTTAGAAATGTAAATATGCATAAGAACAAGATCCATCACAATAAAATGCTAAAGTGTACATCGTTTTTTTTTTTTTTTGTCCTCTTCAGGGTTGTTGCTGTACACTGCAATTTGCCTGTCTGTTGCATTCATAGTAACATGTTCAGAGATGTTTTGTCACATAGTCCAAGTAGTTTTCAACCTCATTCCTGGTTCACATTTTGAAATTAATATCTTTGTTAACATTGTAACACCTTAAAATCCTCCCTGGTCTTTTCTGCTGTTGCATGCATTTAATTTTTTTGTTGTATGAATCATGATTCTCAGCTGCTGTTTTAATGAAATGGATTCCGCATACTGACTCGCAACAGTGAAAACGGTATCAGTTGGGATTATTTGCATGGAACAGTTTGCATGATCCAAGGAAGATGTGACTAGCTGAAGGCCACGTGGTTTGTGTCTTACCAAGGTAAATCCGTTTTTTTGGACTGGCTGTCAAAGTGCGAGATGAGTCACTTTAAGGGAAGTGTGCTAGCCAATGCATCACACCTCAGATCACAGCCTGCTTCTAGCATACATCTGCATTTGTTTGAGATTTGTGGTGTTAGTTTGGCTGTGATTTGTAACCGAAGGCAAGCTGTGTGCATCTCTTTTCTATATGCAGGATATTAAGAGTGTGGTAATGGCTAATGGGAGTGGTTGAGGATAGGGAGCGTCTAATATGTCTTTCCTTCTCTGTAACAAGGAATCAGTTAACAAGCTTATAAAGACTCGAAGCCACATCTCTTTCTGAACCAGGTATGTTAGTGTTTGGTTAACAAATGCATTCTGTGCTGTTTATGTGAAACAAATGTATGTTTTGGACATTTTGCAGATGCTTGCTTATTGTAATGTATCAAAGCCCTGAGCTGAATCAGGAATAAAACTTAGCACAAAATTCTGAGGAATCCCATAAAAGAAAACAAAAACTGAAAAATTTGTCTGAAATCCATCTGCTTACATTAGTTGATGGCAAAATCCAAAACACAGCCGTTGAATGATCTTCAGAGAAAGTATTGCTTTACTAGGCCACAGTGTAAACGGCTTTCTTGAGGAATGTTTTGAGCTGTGTAGTTTATGTGAGGCCGTGTAGCTTGGAGAAATGACTGCAAGGACTAATTTTACCATTGCAAGGAAACTTTAGGCTAGCTGACAGTTGAATTGCAGTCCTGCAGGGCTTTAGGTCCCATGTTTGTTGACTAATGAGTGAGTGCGTTTTTTCTTCTTGCTGATAACTCATTTTGTCCTGGATTTGGTTGGCTTGTCTGTAGCAAAGATGATGTGAAATTATAATCTTTGCACAGCTGGACCCTGCAAATGTTAAAAAGCCACGTAGACCTTGAATTTACAGTATGTACAGTATTGTAAAGTAACTAATGCAGTTATAGAAGTAAAAGCAATACTTTTCTTGGGTTTGTAGCACTCTGATTAAAATGATGGTCTGGCAATTTTGAAGTGAATAAGAAGCGGTCACAAATGTATGGAATTTTTTTTTTTAAGTTTCACATGAGCTATAGGAAGTGGTAAATGTTGTTGGGATGTGACTATGTTCTAATACAAAACAAGTGTTAATTTTCATTTCTGCATTATTGAACGTTTGGCCTCTCAGAAAATATGATGGTGGCTAATGCTTGACTGATTCTGTTGGCTTGAACTGGACTTTATCCATTGTTTTCTCTATTGCATCTTTCTACAGGCTCCAGTGATGAGAGGCCAGAGGAGATGGACACAGGTGCCCTCCCTGAGCAGAATGACCACACACTCTCACAGGTACAAGAACAGTGAACTCTTTTTCCTGAATTAGCCCAAGATGGAAGTTAAATTAGTAATAAGAGGTCAAAAGACCTGCATGTTTCCCTGCTGTTTTCGAACAAACTGTTTGCAGACGTTTTTTGACTAACAGTTTAGTCTGAAATTAAATCTGAAAATAAAGTCTGAAATGTAATGAATTTAATTCAGGTCTTTTAACAATTATGGCAACTATTCCTGCATGATTTCTGCACGATAACTTTAGAGTGTATAATATAAAGTTTATTTATACACTTTTAAGGCTACTATAGATAAAAAAAAATCTTTGATTAGTGTAAGTACCTTTTAAATGTTTAGGGTGTTTAAAAGTGTGTTTATGCGGTTTAAGGTTAAAAAAACACATTATTTTCCACATACTGTACATTATTGTTTCTCCTCTATGCCCCGCCTTTCTGAAACGCGTCGATTTTTACAAAGCTCATCGGTCTGAAAAGTGAGTTGTTATGTGACTGGTCAGCTATCCAGTGCGTTGTGATTGGCTGAATACCTCAAGCATGTGACGGAAATGTTACACCCCTACCATCCTCTGATGCACCGTCCGACCGGAGCGACGAGACAAAAACATTAAAACCCATTATAAACGAGGCATCTGTTGTATCCAGTGGGGACATAATTACGTATTATAATGACTTATATTGTCTTTTTATGCGTTGCATCGCACCACGTAAACATAAAACCATGTCTGCATTTGTGATCGGAGAAATGACAAGCAACAAGTGCTACTCTACACTGCTCAAAACAGCCTTCTTTCTTTGCGTGAACATTTGGGCGGCGTTATGCAAATCTTCCCACATCGTGACGTAGATATGTGGGGGCGTGTTAGAACGAGCCGTTTTAGGTAGGCGTGGCTGACTCTTAACTTTTATAAAGAATATCTCTTTGGATTTGAGACTTTAGTCTTTGCAACTTTACAGATCTTCTTTATGCACCAAGAGCTTGTAACTCTTCAAAGAGAAAGGAAAAATTTTAATCGCATCATATGACCCCTTTATATTTTTTAAAAACTTTTATTTATTAAGAACGAATTAAATTGATCTAAAGTAACAGTAAAACAGTTATAATGTTACAGAGTTTTTTATTTGTACTACATGGTATTCTTTTTATTCAAGGAAAAATCCTGAAAAAATGTATGACACCTTCCACAAAAAATATTATGTAGTACAGCTGTTTTCAACATTAAAAAAAATGTTTTTCTTGAGCAACAGATCAGCATATTAAAATGATTTCTGAAGGATCACGTGACACTGAAGAGTGATGATGCTGAAAATTCAGCTTTGCATTCACAGGAATACATTACTTTTATGAAATATATTGAAATAGAATGTTTTTTAAAATTGTTTTACTGTATTTTTGATCAAATAAATGCTGCCTTTATGAGCATAAGAATCATTAAAAAATTGTATCAACCCCAAACTTTTGAACAGTAGTAATTGAAGTAAACTTGCTTTGTTTTTTAAAAATCACCAGTTGGTCAAAATCAATAGTACCAATGAGTTCTGAGAAATGTATAAAATCTACTTTTCTAGATGACACTTGATATTTGTATGTAATGCAAAGGCACTGATACGTTTAAGTATGGTTTTAGGTGTCCAAACCTATTTTTGGGCCTTTGTAGGCTATCTTGGCCGAACCTTGGGTCCTTGATGTTTTTGTTAGTGCATGAACTTTATCTTCTAGTCAGGCCTCTACATATCAGTTGGGTTAAGGTCAGGTCAGTGTGCTCCCATCAGAGATACTCCCAGCATATACTGTGCAGCTGCTTTGAAGCTCTTTCGTTCCAAGAAACTCCGTGTATTATTTTGGTGAATGTTTCGCATTCATGCTGGAACTTTCAAATTGTCTTATCGGTCCATGATAATGTGCATTCTTCACTGATTGTAACATTACAGAGTGTAAGAGTTGTCTTCTGGCCCATAGCTTTTCCCCTGCGGTCGTCTTGAATTTAAGTTTTGATTTGCATTTTAGTTGGTTAACCACTCATAGAGTGAGCAACACTGCTTTCATTCACTTTCATTCATTTGTACATTATCAATCTGCATATAGATTTATGGAGGCCAAAATCCTCCACAGTGGTTTTGTAACCGTTTCAACCTTGTTGTAGCACATGTAACTAAAATATATCTCAAAAAAGGTTGGATTACCTTCTTAAACATCTTTAATGAAGGACTCATTCTATGAATGCCTACTACTCATTCAATGAAAGCCTAATCTAAAAAAAGACTGCTGTTGCTACATTGAACAGTTTTTCTCTTCTGAAACAAAGTATCTACATACAGTATATGTATGTTCCTGATACACTAATGCATTTATGTTTGTGTGTTTTACAGGATGTCTTAAATGGTGAGGAAGGTCTTAGTGAGGAGGAGAAGGCCAGACGGAAAGCAGAGAGACGCAAAGCCAAAAGGAAGGTGAGAGGAAATTAACTTTAACACACTAAGTACAAGAATGAATCCACTTTAACCTAGAGTTGACTGTCAGGGCAGATCTATTGAGCATTGTTTTTTCTTATTGTTAACCGAGCCCTAAATAGGCTTCATTACATGCATTGTGTTGCTGCCAAAAATGTTTTCATTTTTCTTTCTTTTTTTTTTTTTTAGCGCCAACGTCAGCGGAAGAAATTAGAACAGGGGAAAAAGGATGAAAGTACTGAACAGGTAAAATGAAACTAGAAGGCTGAGGATGCTGCAAGAAGTCTTAGACGCAGGATGTTTCTTCTGCACTGTTTTTATTTACGTTGTGGCAGATCAGTGCATCATGTTTAGAAATCTCACTTTCAACCACAACTATTGGTTTTTTAAAAAAGCATGTTCAAATAGTTACGTTTTTGTTACACACACAAACTACTGTCTAAAAGTTTGGAGTCCCTAAAAGTTTCTAGTGCTCAACAAGGCTGCAGTTTTTTTTATCATAAATACAGTAAAAAAAAAGTAATATTACCATTTAAAGTAAAAACAGTTTTCTATTTTAATATCTTCTAAAATGCAGTTTATTCCTGTGATGGTAATTTTCAGCTGCCATTACTCCAGTCTTCAAAATCACATGATCCTTCAGAAATAATTCTAATATGCTGATTTAATGCTAAAAAAAGCATTATCAAAAAACACAAGTGCAGCTTTGTGTTTGTGGAAACCCTGATTTTTGTGGTGGGACATGCTTTTACATCAGTGAAAGGTGGTGTACAGACATAAGTGTTAAAGAAAATGTGCTGTTCCGATCTAGAAGCTCTTTTCATCAACTGTAAGCCGTTCTATTCGGCGCGGGAGTTTTCTTCTTTCATTCTCGTGAGGGTTTACGTTAGTGCTGGGAGGTATGACCAAAAATGTATATCACGGTATTTTTCCAAAATGATACCGGTTTCACGGTACATGACGGTATTTTTTTTCATGCATGACCGGGTGTTAACCATGTTTTCTACTGATTGAGAGAGGAAATACTGCAGTATATTGACTTAGAATGCCCTATTTTACTGTCATGATGAGTGCGTATTGTCAAAAAATACCACACTAAATAGTGACTAAACATGAACCCTTTTAATACATTTTAACCAGGAGTCACTCATTTATAACCGCGGCATCGTCTGATAAAATCAACATGCATCTACGCTAAAGAGCGGTTGTTTTGGCTATATTACTTTTTTGTCTCATGCAGCGCACCGCATGCGTCTGAGTAACAAACTAAAAAAAACAACAAACAAAAAAGTGCATGTGATATTAACAGAATATGAACTACGCTCATTTATAATTCCAAACAATCAGTAAGCGACAAGTGCTTGGAAACGCTGTTTTGTACTCATTTATTGACGAGTCGGCTGCGGTGTGGCCAACTGAATGCGCTGCTTCTCTGCCGCTCACTGTACAGAACAGACCTCGCGTTCGTGGGACAGCACTGGCGAAATCTTCCAACTGAACCATGGCTAAGGTTTATCCAAAAAAGTCGGTAGGTTTGTCAGTATGAATATTCTATGGAAAAAGCCGCTAAAAGGGTCTGAAAGTTGCTAAATCTAGTGCTAAAGTCACGCTCGTGTGTGTGTGTGAGACTGATGGCAGGGGGCGGTGGATATTTGTGGCGGTCAATGTGGATATTGTGGATGAGTTCTTCTATTAGTTCTACAGCTTCAGTTTCGGAACTTTCATGCTTGGTAACACATACAGCTTTTCCCTCACCACAGTGCAACAGTGAAAAGGGACCTCTTTCAAACAGTGTCGCTGTTTAAACGTTGTTTAAGCGACATACACCGGTATTGCGGTATTTTAAAAATTAATATCATAACAAAAATAAACACCGGTATTTGGTATGAACCGGTATACTGCCCAGCACTAGTTTACGTTCCACTGGAAGCGCACGTGAGCTCAGCTTTACACAAACTCACTGATCGGATCACAGACACAGAACAACAACACCCGGATTCTGTTATTATCATTCTCTGGGACTTTAATAAAGCAAATCTCTCACGTGAACTGCCAAAATACAGACAGCATGTTACATGTCCCACCAGAGACGGTAATATATTGGATCACTGTTACACAACAATAAAGGATGCATATCACTCTGTCCCACGAGCAGCTTTAGGGCTCTCTGATCACTGTTTGTTTCATCTTATACCAACCTACATGCAGAAACTGAAATCAGCTAAACCTGTGTTAAGGACTGTAAAACGATGAACTAATGAAGCAGAGCGGGATTTACAAGCCTGCTTCAAATGCACTGATTGGAGTGTTTTTGAAACTGCTGCCAACGATCTGGATGAGCTCACAGAATCTGTAACATCCTATATCAGTTTCTGTGAAGACGTGCATTCCTACCAGGACCTATCTAACATACAACAATGACAAACCATGGTTAACTGCAAAACTCAGACAGCTCCATCAGGCCAAAGAAGATGCTTACAGGAATGGGAACAGAGTCTTGTATAAACAGGCCAAATACACACTGGAAAAAGAGATCAGAGTGGCAAAGAAGAATTATTCTGGAAAGCTAAGGAACCAATTCTCTTCCAGTGACCCTACATCGAGTGTGGAAAGGTTTTAAAGATATCACCAACTACAAGACACCATCCCCCAGTACTGTGGAGAATCAACAACTAGCAGACGATCTGAATGAGTTTTATTTCAGGTTTGAAAAAAACACCATTATCACCTCCAGCAACCCCCCCTCTCCCCCACTCCTGCACTTCAGATCAGTGAAGATGATGTGCGCCAGGTCTTCAGAAAGAACAAGAGAAGAAAGACACCAGGCCTAGACGGTGTCACACCAGCCTGTCTGAAAGCCTGTGCTGACCAGCTGGCCCCCATCTTCTCACAGATCACTGGAGCTGTGCAAAGTTCCTTCCTGCTTCAAATGCTCCACCATCATCCCTGTCCCAAAGAAACCCCAAAATTACAGGACTTAATGATTACAGATCTGTGGCTCTAATGTCTGTGGCCATGAAGTCATTTGAGAGGCTGATGTTGGCTTATCTGAAGAACATCACTGGACCTTCACTGGACCCCCTGTAGTTTGCTTACCGAGCAAATAGGTATGTGGATGATGCAGTCAACATGGGACTGCAATACATCCTGCAGCATCTAGACAGACCAGGTACTTATGTGAGGATGCTGTTTGTGGATTTCAGCTTGGCTTTCAACACTATCATCCCAAACCTCCTCCTGTCCAAATTAACTCAGCTCTTCGTGCCCACCTCAGTCTGTCAGTGGATCAGCAGCTTCCTGACAGACAGCTAGTAAAGCTGGGAAAATTCTCATCCAGCACCTGCACAATCAGCGCTGGAGCTCCTCAGAGTTTTGTCCTCTCCCCACTGCCCTTCTCTCTGTACACCAATGACTGCACATCTAAAGACCCCTCTGTCAAACTCCTAAAGTTTGCAGACGACACCACTCTTATCAGTCTCATTCAGGACGGTGATGAGTCTGTTTACAGACAGGAGGTAAAAGAGCTGGCTATCTGGTGCAGTCTTAACAACCTGGAGCTCAACACGCTCAAAACAGTGGAGATGATCGTGGACTTCCGTAGGAACCCCCCTGATCTCCCTCCACTCACCATCATGGACAGCACTGTAACAACAGTGGAGGCATTCAGATTCCAGGGCAACATCATCTCTCAGGACCTGAAGTGGGACATTCACATTGAGTCCATTTTTAAAAAGGCCCAGCAGAGCTTGTACTTCCTTCGCCAGCTGAGGAAGTTCAACCTGCCACAGGAGCTGCTGAAACAGTTCTACTCTGCCATCATTGAATCCTTCCTCTGCACTTCAATAACTGTCTGGTTTAGCTCAGCTACCAAATCTGACCTCAGAAGACTATGTTGGATAGTCCGGACTGCTGAGCGAATCGCTGGTACAGCCCTCCCCACTCTCCAAGAACTGTACTTATCCAGCGTGAGCAAAAGGGCTGCCAAAATCACTCTGGACCCCTCACATCCAGCACACTCACTCTTTGAACTGTTGCCGTCTGGTCGACGGTACAGAGCACTGCGCACCAGAACGGCCAGGCACAGGAGCAGTTTCTTCCCTCAGGCAATCCATCTCATGAACACTTGACAATAAAACGTGGAACACACAACACTATCACACATTTATTTATTTAACACACATACTTACTTAGATTTCAAATTTGCACATAACATACCTGTACATACAAAATTGTCTATTTTGTATATTGTGTTTTTGCTATTTTGTACATTGTCTATTTTGTATATTTTTACATTGTTCTTTTTATTATCCGTGTCTTGTCTTGTCACTGTCATTCTGTTGCACTGTGGAGCTTCTGTCACTAAAAGAAATTCCTAGTATGTGTAAACACACCAGGCAATAAATCTCATTCTGATTCTGGTTCAATACTATTTTATTTTATTTATTTATTTTTAAATGCATTGATCTTTCCATGAATAAAGCCATCAATTCTGGTATTGCAATAAAAACAAACAAACAATTATTATTAAAATGTGATATTTTTCTTTCAGGGGGAGGAGAATGCTGGAGCTGATTCTGAACTTGACGAGTCTGAGGAGTCTGAGTCAGAGGAGTTGGAATGTATTGGCCTTTCGAAGGTGGAAGAGAAGCCAGTTGCTCCTCAAAGTAAAAGTCCTTCTGGACCTCCGCTGGCATCAGGGAACAAAAGCAACCGGCAGCCGGCGGCCCGTTCTAGTGAGGAGGTATGGAAACGGAACCAACCATACTGTTCCCACTGATGGACGTCCAGAGTTTTAACATTCAAAGCTATTTGAATGTTAAATTGTTTCAGTTGCTAACTTTCACACTGTTTCTTCATTTTTAGGACCCAGGCTGGGATGTGAACAGTGCTTTTGTTGCCAATGCTGTCAGTCACATTCGACCCAAAACTAAAAGTAAAGGAGCTCACAAGTCGAAAGAGAACAAGGAAAATGAGAGCAGGACAGGAGAAGTGAGTTTTTGTAATTGTGTATTTAGTGTCCTGTTTTATTTGTTGCATCTGTGGGCTGCCCGTACTTTTGTGTTGTAAAGGTGGAGCCTGTAAATGCTGAACCTGGGCGTTGGGCATCTTGGGTATTAACATAGTTAATAAATCTATAGGTGTTGTCACTTTGGGCTTATATGACAGATTTTTTTAGCTGGTAGTACTGCCACTGTCTTGACAGATTGCATGTTTCCTGGTACTATAGATTCTGTTTTTACCTAGCAAGCCCATATGTGTTGTGCTTTTATAACATGTTGAGCTTAAAATAGTATAAAAATGAGTAATGAGACAACTCTTACATAGCAGTCTTTTTTTTTGTGAAATATTGCTTTAATTACTGCTGTAAATCTTTTTTTATTTTTTTTATTTTTAGTGTACACTACCATTCCAAAATTTAGCTAGTAAATTTTTTAAAATTAATATCATCATGGATGCATTATATTGATGCATCAAAACTGACAGTAAAGACATTTATAATATTACAAATGACAAAAGATCTCTGTTTCCTAAAATTATTACTTCCACAAAAATATTAAGCAGCACAATTGTTTTCAACATTGTTAACTATACAAAATGTTTCTTGAGCAGCAAATCATCATATTAAAATGATTTCTGAAGGCTCATGTGACACTATGGCTAGCTTTGCATCACAGAAATAAATACAATTTTTAAATAGATTATAATAGAAAACAATTGTTTAAATCAAATAAATGCAGCCTTGGTGAACATAAGAAACTTCTTTCAAAAAACAGTGTACTATGGTAGTGTACTGATTTGGGATGTGCTAATTTATAATGCTGCATACAGTGAACAGATTAGATTTGTAGATTTGTAAAATTTCTTTCCGACACATTTATAGTAAAAATTTGAGTTTGTGTGTGTCTTTTTCCAGCTTTAAAAAAAGTAATGTAAAAGTAATGTATTTCAATGAAAAGTATACACAGAAATATAATTTGAGATTAATAGTAATAGAACTGAGATGCAGACAGTGCTTTCGGAGAATCATATCATATCCTTCCTGAACTATTCAATCATCATTCAGAGTAGTAGTTATATATTTTGAATGTTGTTTTTCATGCAGCTTTAAATGTGTTTTGCTTTTGATATTATGTTGAAAATAACTATAATTCTTTTTTTTTAAACAGGTCATAGGTTTATCAGATGCTAAAACTAAAAGAAGTGCCTTACTAGTAGGTGTGTAAAAATCTCTTTCCTTCTGACACTTTTCATTTTTTTTGTAGTTTACCCTAAAAATGTTCATTATAATGTTATGTTGTTCCAACCGTCTATTTCTGCCTTCCATGGAGCATAAAAGGTAAAACTGGAAGGGGAAAAAATCTGAACGCTTTTTGGAAAACAAATTAAATCTCAATGGCTTCAGAAGACTGATGAATTACTTTTATGATACTTTTTTTTTTTTTGTCACTTTGGAACTTGACAGCCACATTCACTTTCATTATTTAAAAAGAATATTCCAGAATGTTCTTCAAAAAGAAATAGGTTTGGAAAGACATGACCTCATTTTCATTTTTAGGTGAACTGTTCTTTCACAATATTTCAAATGCTTCACAGTAAATCACATGCTTAAGTTTCGCATAGTTACCGAGCAAGAGTATCACTGTCAACATTTTTTGCTGTTATTCTTTACTCATACATTCCTCCAAATCCATCTCTTCCATATGAGTCTTTCTTTCTCTTCACTCCAGAAAAAGGGATTCGATTTGTTCAGGAGGGTCAGTACACACAAGCTGTTAGTCTGTTTACAGAGGCCATCAAATGTGACCCGAAAGACTACAGGTGATGCATTGATATGCATAAAATCATATCCACATATATTGTCTTTGTTTTTTTGTTGTTTTATTAACTCTCTTTGATTTTTGGATAACAGGTTTTTTGGAAATCGCTCCTACTGCTACTGTTGTCTGGAGCAGTATCCTCTGGCCCTCGCAGATGCTGAGAAGTCCATTCAAATGGCTCCTGATTGGCCCAAAGGCTATTACCGCAGGGGAAGTGCACTTATGGGGCTTAAGGTATGACCTATTGGCGTATTTATTGTTTTTTCTTCCTGTATATGGAGGGAATCTCTATTTAGCTGTATATCAATGAATTTGTATGTGGGTTTGTTTGTAATAGAGGTACAGTGAAGCTGAGAAAGCCATGGAACAGGTGCTAAAACTGGACCAAGATTGCGAAGAAGCAGTCAATGACCTCTTGTACTGTAAATTGCAACAACTTTTGGTAAGGACAGGACTTCTCATTGTAGTTCAGTTAGTAGAGCATAAAGAACAGAGGTTGTGGGTTCTAGTACCAGAGAACAAAGAACATACTCATAAAATTTGTACGTTCAAATATCCAAAGTTTCTTCGTACAAAGCTTCGGTAACACTTTACTTGAATGGGTGTGCATAAGACTGACATGACACCTTCATAATCATGACATGACACATGTCATAAATATGAAGGAGGTTTTATGCATGTTTATGACAACTGTCATTAAGTGTCATTCGCTCAGTTATGTCATTTTTAATGCAAATATGACATTATCTGACCTAACCCTAACCTAACCCTACCCCTACCCTTACCCCTAACCATAGCCCATAACAAAGACATCTCAAACAATGTCATCTTTGCATTAAAAATTACATAACTGAGCGAATGACACTTAATCACAGTTGTCATAAACATGCATAAAAAAACCTTCATATTCATGACATGTCATATTTATGTAGGTGTCATGTCATGATTATGAAGGTGTCATGTCAGTCTTATGCACACCCCTTCAAGTAAAGTGTAACCGCTTCTACAATGACATGTCAATGTCATGAGAAAGCAAAAAAAACCAAGATAATTATACACACATCATTTACTTTTTTTGTTCCAAATCTTTGTTGTTTTTCTTCTCCGTGAAAGACCAATGGAAAAAATGACATTTCAACAATTGAGTCCATATGACTCACCCATATTTTTGGAGCTACATAACTTTGGTTGGAATAAAAGCAGCTCAAGCATGCTAAGCATCTCCTTTTTTGTTCCGCAGAAGAAAGTCAAACAAGTTTCGAATAACAATAGGATGAGTAAATAATTTCACGTTTGAGTGAAGTGTTTCAGTTTAGAATGGCTTCTACAATGACATGTCAATGTCATGAGAAAGCAAAAAAAACCAAGATAATTATACACACATCATTTACTTTTTTTGTTCCAAATCTTTGTTGTTTTTCTCCGTGAAAGACCAATGGAAAAAATGACATTTCAACAATTGAGTCCATATGACTCACCCATATTTTTGGAGCTACATAACTTTGGTTGGAATAAAAGCAGCTCAAGCATGCTAAGCATCTCCTTTTTTGTTCCGCAGAAGAAAGTCAAACAAGTTTCGAATAACAATAGGATGAGTAAATAATTTCACGTTTGAGTGAAGTGTTTCAGTTTAGAATGGGGTCAGTTTTAAAAACACTTCTTTGGAAGCAAAAGTATTGCAATCCATTGAAAAGTATACACAGAAATATAATTTGAGGCCTGCAATGAATTACGGTGTTCTCTTTGTTAGGATCTTGGCTATGATGAGGAACAGAGTATTCAATTGCTGGACAAATACAACACGGTGCAGGCTGTTGTTGCAGCCAAGGGTAAGAGCTCTTTTTCATTTTGCCTAATTTTTTTTATTGAACCACATGAGGGTGCTATCGCTACACTGATTTTGACCAGAATCAGTACTCAAGTTATTTTGTAACACACAAAACAGTAAACACAGAAATAATATTTTTTGATAGTTTTCTGTTTTAATATATATTATAAAATGTATCTTATTCCTGTGATGCAAAGCTGAATTTTCAGCATCATTACTCCAGTCTTCAGTGTCGCATGATCTTTCGGAAATTATTCTAATATGCTGATTTGGTGTTCAACAAACATTCATTATTATTATCTTGATTATCATGTCATAATATATGAATTAATTAAATGTACTTTATCTAATTTATTTTCTCTTTTTCTTTTAAACCTGATAAATCTGGCAATAGTGCAAAATAAGTTTCATTTTGTGAAACTTGAGAACAGCCAAAATTGTAAAAAGAGCTGTTTTGATAAATTCTATATTAATGCACTGATGTTGCTCTGCCAACATAAACTACTAAAGCTTTCTTCATTGTACATATTAACATGCTTTTGATAATTCGCCACACTCAATTAATTTCTCATGGCTAATTTGTAATACAAAAATATTTTTTACAGCTTCAAATCAGGACTCTGCTCTCCTCCAACCAGGGTAAGCCATCATATAACGGATTTCAGTTTAAATCTGTGCATTTGTTTATTTTTTTTATTTTTGAAACATTGTTCTCTCCCTTTAATTCTGTATCTATATTTCCCTCTCTGTCATTTTCTCACTCTCCTTCACAAGTCCTTGCAGTTCCCTGTGGGTGGGCAACGTGACCACAGAACTGACAGAGAAACATTTGCGGGACCTCTTCAAAATGTGAGATCTGATGCCACATATTTGAATCTTTTTCTAAAATGATTTCCAATTATTTTTATTTTTATTTTTGATGATGTTCGCCAGTTATGGAGAAATTGACAGCATCCGGGTTCTGCACGAACGTTTCTGTGCGTTTGTTAACTTTAAGAATGCCAACATGGCCTCCCGTGCAATGGAGAAACTCAATGTGAGTGAAACCCTAATGATCTTCCAATATACGTATTTTTATATTTGTATGTAAAACCCTTGTAAAACGCTCTTCTCAGGGACATTTTATTGAGAATACCCGACTAGTGGTTCGATATCCAGATCGACGGATTCAGAGAGTCCTTCCAACACCTGCCATTCAACAACCTGCAGGGGCTTCTGGGTAATTCAGACTCTGCTGTTAATGAGAAAAGTAATGGTGCTCGCTTTTGATGTTTTTATAACGGCTATTATTGTCTTCCTTAAAAAACTGTATGTTCAAGCAAATGTTCTTTTGAAAGAAGTGCAAAAGTCCAAACAAATTTGTCGTTCTTCCAGGCCAAGACGCAGAGGTCCTGTCAACGGAGATGAGTGTTACTTCTGGAGGACCACCGGCTGTCATTTTGGAGATGGGTGTCGCTATAAGCACATTCCTGATCATCGAGGCAAAGACTGGCAACCTTGAGTCAACGCTAGCCTCTCTTTTTCTCTCCCCTAAGAACTCTGGGAGATGACTGCATGATTGTTGGGACTGTAATCTTCACTTTGATTATCTGTAGGTCAGGACCAGTATTGTGGATCAGAATCTTCTGACGGCTCTCTTGAGTGCTTCACTGTCAGACTCCGAACCTCACGGGGTTTCAAAGCAGACGGGACTCTGGGAAAAGAGTCTCTTTTGAGGTGAGGTTTGGGTGGTGCAGAGTGCCGCATCGCATCGCCGTCTGCTGAGGTCTACACAGCCTCTCATATCATATGATCTCTTCTCTCTTCCTGTGCTAACTCCACCAACCCAAAGAAGAGCCGTAGATCTGGTCTGACATTTGAGTTCAATTCCAAGAGAATGACTTTGATTCTGTATTTGAGGATGGGAGAAACATACCAAAGAATAATACTATGCCATATGTGGATTTTACGTTGAGAGAGAAAAAGGCTTTCAGGGAAAATTAGCTTATTAGTTTTACTTGTGTGTTTTGATTTGTTTCCACCACCTCAAACACACTCCAGCTCTTCATTCATCCATATTTCTAAGGGGACTTTTCCCGCTAATTCTCTCAAAAGGCCCCAAATTTAAGACATTTGAGGGCATGTCAGTATTGCAAAGGGTTAGAGCAATTATTTGAATCTTTCAAAGAAATTACGTCTCTTGATAAATTATTTTCAATTCTCCTTTTTGATTTGTCTTGCAGTCTTGCACTTTACCATATCAGATGATCTGTGGGTTGTTCCTCAAGCGAAAAACATGGTCTTCCCCTTTAAGAAAGATGAGTAGATGTTTGGTCAGAATCATGTTGCTAAAGGTATTGATGATCTGTGGTCATCGGTGGTATTTTTTTCATGGTATTTTCCAATCGCCATTTAGATATTATTTACATTTATCTATAAATATGAACATGGAATAATGATTTCACGTAATGCGATCACAAACGCAGTTTTTGGTCATGGATCATGTTATGCTGCTCCACGAAATGCAGAAAATCTTATGCAAGAGCTCTGAGACGCAGGAAACTCTTGCTTTGGCACTTTTCATACCATCAGCGCAAAGTTGATCGGGTGGTTTTCATCATTTCCTCTTTTATTTAACATTCTTGCTCGGGTTTTAGTGGATGTGAAGGAAGTTGGCTGTTTGAGATAGTTCGTCATGTCTTCCACCTCATCATCTTGTAGAACAGCATGCACATTTTTTAAGTTATTGTTGGTATGATAATGATTTCATCAAGCAATATTCTTGTTTCAATGCATTTGAAAACCCTCATAACCTCGTTGTGCTGTTCTGACACACTTATCCAAAGAACACTAATGTTTACCTAGTGTACCACAGACAAACACATTGCTATTTTTGTACGATACACTATTTACGACGTGTCAGTTAATGACACTTCCTCAGTTTTTAGATATGACTGCATGGGTTTTTATGCAGGCTGTAGTCACACTAGTGCTTTTAGTTTAGTTGGGCTTCTTTTGACTCTGTGACAGTCCAGAGTGCCTTCAAAATGTTTGCTTTCCTATCAGATGAGTTATTTTAGCATCCCCCATGAACAACGGGAAAGTGACTTTTACTTTAGGCTGTGAATGGAATAATACCGAAGAGTAATGTGTGTCCAGAGAAATGTCAGTTTTGTTGGTTTGGGACTGAGGCATACACTTGTGGTTCTCATCATTTTTTTTAACGCCTGTATGTTCAAATAAATTATTTTTAGGATTTAAAAAAAAATTTTTTTTTTTTAGAAGTATGAAAACAGCAACAATTTCTCACTGTTGTGCTGCTCAAAGATCCCTTTATAGAGTTCAGTCATGCATTAAAGAATATTTATCACTCAAATGGAGGATTTTCTGTCTCTTTTTGCCTTTTTTTCTCCACTTTCTCTGTATCCGTTTTATTTTTCTTGCCTTTTTTTTCTCCACTTTCTCTGTATCCGTTTTATTTTTCTTTTGTGGCCTTTCCCACTTTTGTCACTTTTTTTGTTGTTGTTGCTATTCACTATATGATAGTGATACAAAATAGTTTGTAGTGGAATACTAGCTTACCGTCTAGTTGTCTTGAAAATGCAGTTATTTAGCATTGGACTTTTGACATTCTGATGCCAAAATAAATGCCCCAGAAGTTTGGGGTCCATAAGATTTTATTTATTATTATTAATTTTTTTAAATTAAGACTTTTATTTAGCAAGTGTGCATTAAGTTGATCCAAAGTGACAGTAAAGACAGTTACAAAGGTTCCTATTTTTTAAAAAAAAATGCAGTTTTGAATTTAATAGAAGAATCCTGTATCCTGTTTTCAACATTAATGATAATACAATTTTCTTGAGCAGCAAATCAGCATATAAGAATGAAATCCGAAGGATCGTGTGACACTGAAGACTGTAGTAATGATGCTGAAAATTCACAGGATTAAATTACTTTTTAAAATATATTCAAATAGAAAATTATTTTCAATTGTAATGTTTCATATTATGAATTTTTTACTGTATTTTTGATCAAATAAATGCAGCCTTGATGAGTACTTACAAAAACATAAAAAAAAAATCTTACTGACCCAGACATTTTGAATGGGAGTATATATGACTAATTATTGGTTCATGTTAGCTGATGCATTAGGTGATTTTAACAAGTGAAACTTTTTTGTAAAATGTTACTGATACTCTTACCATTTTTTTCATTATCATGTAGGTCATAGTATAATTGCAGTTTCCATTTTCCTTTCAATAAACTCTAAATTCAAGTGTATATACCAACTGACACTAGAGGGAGTTCTTGCACAGGATTCACAGTAAACTCGAAGTATGCTAAAAAAAGAAACTTAATATAATATTACTGTTTCTATAATTCATACAAATATCTAGTATGTCTTGAGAGCATCAGGATATAGACATCCAAAATAATCCTCCTCTTTCATCAGCAGCACTTGAAAGTGACTTGTGGTTAGTGCAATCACAGGCGTCCCATATGAAGAGCACATGGCACAACAAGTATGAGAGTCTGCAGTATCTAAAAGCATGCCTCCCCTATATCAAGGAAAAATGACTTAAGCGACCTCCAGCACTTTTGACCACCAGCCTGCTATTGTGGCCTGGAGCCAGTGGTTTGTGGCCTGTATGTATTGTTTAGGGAAAGTCTATTGATAACACAGCTGTTCGTAAGAGGCCTTTGAAACTAAAGTAAGACCTTTCCAGTAAAAGTGTGCTTCTTACATTGAATTGGCATTTTACATTTTACTGAACATTATGTATAAAGTATTTAAAGGAATAGTTCACCCAAAAATGATCATTTGCTAAAATGTTCTCACCCTCAGGCCATGCAAAAAATAGATGTTTTATCACTGTAACCGATTTGGAGATCGTTAGACCGTTAGCATCTCACTCAAAAATGACCAAAGAGTTTTGATATTTGTCCCATTTAAAACTTGACTCTTCTGTAGTTACATCGTGAACCAAGACTGACGGAAAATGATTATTACGCCGGAATGAGAGTATAGTTCCTAGCCATATCGGCCTAGAAAATATCGCAACTTTTCATTTTCCGTCAGTCTTAGTTCACGATGTAACTACAGAAGAGTCAAGTTTTAAATGGGACAAATATCAAAACTCTTTGGTCATTTTTGAGTGAGATGCTAACGGTCTAATCAGATTCAATGATCTATGCTAAGCTACAGCTAAAAGTACTGCCAGACCCGGAGATCGGCTGAATGGATTCGAAAACGGTAAAACTCAACTGTTTAACTCTAGGGGAGTTGGAAAATGAGCCTATTTTCAAAAAAAGTGGAGTGTTTCTTTAAGGTTAAAATTCCTTAATGATGGATTTGTTTATTACAAAAGCAGAGCTTTTTGCTTCACAAGAAGTTAATTGATGGCCTGGAGTTGTGTGGATTATTGTGGATTACTGTGATGTTTTTATCAGCTGTTTGGACTCTTATTCTGTCGGCACCCATTCACTGCAGAAGATCTATTGGTGAGCAAGTAATGTAATGCTAAATTTCTTCAAATCTGTTCCTATGAAGAAGCAAACTCCTATATGTCTTGGATGGCCAGAGGGTGAGTACATTTTCAGCTATTTTATTTATTACACAATTTATTACTTTTTTTTTTTAACTAAGCTTTTGCTGTTAAATATATTTCAAATAAATAAATGCATTACATGTAAAATAAAGTCCTGCCACAACTTTTTCTTGTTAAACTTATGCAAGGATTTATGCAAGTAAAATGGCAAAATTGTAATTCACTGCTTTGCTCTGATGTGTGGCAGTGCATAAAAAACAAACCAAAAAAAGCTCAAGTGCTGTATGCTGCGTTTTGTGAAAACCATGGCAGTATTTTCTCAGACTGTGGTGCTCTTCATGGACGTGCGAAGCTGTTCTATAACGGCCTGCCTTATGAAACTCGCGACTCATGCGAAGAGAGCAAAAACAGGAGGTGACGGTGGGGGTAAAATGGAGGAGGTGCTATAATTTGAAAAGGCAGTTGTTTATTGTTGAAGAGCATGTATTTATTTCATGGCACCGCAAATTGTGGCTAAGGGCAGAGCCGGGTCTCGGTGGGTAATTACAGAGCTTGAGGCAGCGCCCCACCACAGCAGAGTCTCTTAAGAGCCTGTGCCCCCCCCCACACACACACACAGTCAGTGCCATCTACTTCCATTAGACATTGCATGTACTTGCTGAGGAACATCATCACCAGTGTTCTTCACTAATGATGCTTCTAGACTTCACTGTAGGTGAATTAGCATTGTACCAGTCAAATTAAGTTTGGACTTTGACTTTTGTTCTTGTCTAAATTTCTTTCCAGTGTTCTTAGAAACATTTTGAGCTAAAGGTTTGTGCTTAAATGCTTGAAATGACTTAGCAGACAAATATAAACTATTTTTGTTTTTGATTTTTTTTTTATGTTCACCAAGGCTGCATTAATAAAAAAAAAAATAATACAGTAAAAGCAATAATGTTGTGAAATATTTTTACAATTTAAAATAACAGTTTTCTACTTTTAGTAAATTTTACAATGCAATTTATTTCTGTGAGCAGTCATTATTCCAGTGTTTAGTGTCACATGGTGTCCTTCAGAAGTCATTCTAATATGCTGATTTGCTGCTTAAGAAACATTTTTTACTATCATACTGTTTTTTGGGAAATCGTCATCCTTTTTAGATTCTTTGATGATTAAAAATATCAGCATTTTTAATTGAAATCTTTTGTCACGTTTGGTCAGTTTAATGCATCCTTGCTGAATAAAAGAGTTAATTTTTTTTAATATTAAAAAAGTAAAACTATTTAGTTTTTGTTATTTTATTTAATTATTTAGTTTATATCTCACAGCAACTTTATTTCTCATGGCTGTGACTTTATTCTTTGCAGTTGCGACTTTTTATATCTCTAATTTCTGACTATATGTTTCCTAATCTGTTTTTATACTTCACAATTGCAACTTTTCTCTCCTAACTGCAACTCTGTATTTCAAAATGTGAATAAATTGTAGGTACAACTTTATAACTCACAATCTGTCACTGTGACTATCTCATAAATTCTCATGAAGTTGGTTAAGTGATTGCTGGCTGAGTCAAGCTGTAGAAGCAAATGGTGTCGACTTTGAGAAAGTTAAAATATAGTGTTTATTGTCATTACATAATTCAGTCAGTGTTATCTCATAGCTTTGATGGCTTTCCCATTATTATAAAATGTGGAAAAACAGTAGCAATAAGGAATGAGTAGGTGTGTCCAAATTTTTGGGCTGGTAGTGTATGTCACGTATGCCACCCATGAGTCAGATATAATGCATATGTATATAGGTAGTAATAGCAGTCTTTTTGAGGTGCTGTATGTATATTTTTGGCACTTTTTCCTCTCTCTTTCAGTCATTTTGCAAGATTTCTCTTTGATTAGCTGCTCCAACAGGATCCCCCTTCCTGTCTTGGTTTACCCAGTGGGAGGGACCTGCATTCAAGTACACAGTCACACCAACTTTGGCACAAAAACAACTTAATTGCTAGTTTTCAATTGACAGCGAATACGTGAACAGAGGTTAGGTAATTGAGGAAACTGTTAAATATTTTCGTAAGATGGTAGGGCATTTTTTCCCTCTCACATTTTTCTCTTGTTTGTTTCTAAATCTGTACATGGAAGTTACGGTAATTGTTGCTGAGGTACAGCCCACCTTGGACACAGTTATGGATGTGATTTGCTAGAAATATTCCTATGAATCTAAAACATTCCTTCTGAGGTTTGCTAAAACTGAAATGCACTGAATATCAACAGAACATGCTAATTTGGTCACAAACTCACAGACATGCAAACATTTAAAGTATGTAAAAATAAAAACAAGTAGCTGTTTGTTTTATCTATAGAGTGAAGGACTATGGATGGAGGTGAAAATGAGTGTTGAGATATTTAAGACAATCCTTACTGTGGTTTAAAGAGAAGGATGTCTTGCTTTTTTGGGAGTGAGGTTTGTGGTCTCCTCACTGAAGAAACATCTACTATGTGGTTATGCAGCTTCTTTTAGTTACTTGGAATTGGACATATGGAGTTATTCAGGACTTGAGATCTTCCTGTGGCTTTGTGTTACAAAGTTGGCCATAAGAAGTTTAAGTGTGTGTGAACGGATCAAAATTTGAGATCCACTGTCAAATGATAATAGCAACTTCATGTTTACGATAAGTTACTTAACCTTTGTTAAAAATAAATTGTATGTATCAACACTTGTATGTTTTATATGTTGGTATACTAAACTGAACTTCAGATGAGTCTCCTCTACTCATGTATAGATTATATATATATATATATATATATATATATATATATATATATATATATACATATATATAATATAAAATATGACATATGGAGTTATTCAGGACTTGAGATCTTCCTGTGGCTTTGTGTTACAAAGTTGGCCA